TTGAGGACCTGAATCAGGAAGTGCTCCAGCAACATTTTGCTATTGACTATTTGTTAGCACGACAAGGAGATTTTTGTAAACTTGTTGGCCGTCATGGATGTGCTGTTCATTTTCACTCTTTGAACAGAACCATTGAAGATGAACTTGCTAAACTCCTATCATATTTTCAGAATAATGTTCATGCTATTTCCTTTTCTTTTGACTGGTTGACCTGGCTTAAGCAGTTGTTTTTTTATGTTGTGATTAATTTTGTCATGTTAGTTGCTTGCTGTTGTTTCATTCAGTGTATTCCCTGCTCCTCTTTCTCTGCCTCCTCATCAAATGTGATATATTCAAAAATCTTTATTCTCTCAAAATTAAATAAAAAGAGGGGACATGTAGGAATCCACAATCTGCATATGTGCAGGGATTTTCCTATCTTGGATGGCAAACCTCAGATAAGGAAGGTTACTTGCACCTAAGCACCAGGAAACTACATTAGAAGATAAGACCCTAATTCTGTAAATAAGAGAAACAGCAGGAGAGGAAATGGGATATATGTGTATTAGACTTTAATTAAAGTCTAACATTATAAGTGCTTAAGCAAAGCAGTAATGGTTAACCAAAGACTCTAGTTACCTGGAAGATTCTGTAGCCAATGAGATGCTGCCAAGTACACTGTAACTTGAAAGTAACAAACTATATAATGTCACTATGTAAGACAATAAAGTTACCACATACATCCTCAACCTTTGTGTGTGTGGTCTCTACACATAAAGGCCTACGAAAAGAGAAGAATATATATATATATATATATATATAGATAGATAGATAGATAGATAGATAGATAGATAGATAGGTAGTCCTTTTATTCGTAGGTTTATATGTATAATACTTTTCTAGTCAGGGTTTTTCCTATGTAACTCAAGATGTTTGTATTGCCTTAGTTGGCAATACAAATCACCACTTTCAGGCTTTATCAGACATTTTGTGTTGTCTGCTGTGAGATTTAAGGGAGACTGGGATAGTACTATTTCGGCCTTATGAGGCCTCTTCAGCCAGCCACACCCTTATTTTATGACTCCTCCCTGTAAAGGCCAAATATTTATTTTGTTCTTTTATTCATAGGTTTATATGTATAATACTTTTCTAGTCAGGGTTGATAGATAGATAGATAGATAGATAGATAGATAGATAGATAGATAGATATAGATAGATAGATAGATAGATAGATAGATATATTGTCCTTTTATTCGTAGGTTTATATGTATAATACTTTTCTAGTCAGGGTTTTTCCTATGTAACTCAAGATGTTTGTATTGCCTTAGTTGAGTGACATCTCAAATCACCACTTTCAGGCTTTATCAGACATTTGTTGTTGTCTGCTGTGAGACTTAAGGGAGACTGGGATAGTACTATTTCGGCCTTATGGATATGTTTTCTGAGGTTTTCGCAGGTGTTTGTATGTAGGTCTTTGGTTATTTGGGTTATCCCACGTAAAATTGGAGGTTTCTTGGTAACGTTTCAAACCCACACTGATGATGAGGCACGACCCCGGACCAAAGCCAGACCACAGCTGCATCATTAGCCACTTTAAACCCCTCCAATTCATACATGAAGCAGACTGACACCCACCATGAAGAGGTAGCACGGCCACGAACACGAAGCCAAACAACAGCAAACACAGCTCACCAGCTCAAATCCCCCTGCACTCAGACTAACCCGAGCACAACCAAGCCCCCACCTAAACAGAACACACCCCCATCCAATCAGAGCACAGCCAACCCCCTTCCAATCAGAGCACAGCCAAACCCCCAACCAATCAGAACACACCTCCGCCCAATCAGAACACAGCCAAGCTCCCACCCAATCAGTTCACACTCCCACTGCAGTTAAAAGGAAGAAACAGCTGCGATCACACACATTGCCCTAGAAGCACAAAGCCGAGAACACCAGCCTGAAGATGACGAATGAGACTTCGTCGAAACGTTCCAAGAAACCTCCAATTTATGCAGGAGAAAACCCGAATAATCAAAGACCTACACACACACACACACACACACACACACACACACACACACTCACACACATTCTGAGGTTTTCGCGGTTTTTATATGTAGGTCTTTGGTTATTCGGATTTTGTCCCGCGTAAAATTGGAAGTGTCTTGACGACGTTTTGACGAAGTCTCATTCGTCATCTTCAGGCTGGTGTTTTCGGCTTGTGCTTCTAGGAGCACGATCGCAGCTGTTTCTTCCTTTTAAACTGCCAGTGGTGGTGTGAACTGATTGGTGGGAGCTTGCTGTGTTCTGATTGGTGAGATGTGTTCTGATTGTTGGGGGTTTGGCTGTGCTCTGATTGGATGGGGGGTGGCTGTGCTCTGATTGGATGGGGTGTGGTTCTGTTCACCACTTTCAGGCTTTATCAGACATTTTGTGTTGTCTGCTGTGAGACTTAAGGGAGACTGGGATAGTACTATTTCGGCCTTATGGATATGTTTTCTGAGGTTTTCGCAGGTGTTTGTATGTAGGTCTTTGGTTATTTGGGTTATCCCACGTAAAATTGGAGGTTTCTTGGTAACGTTTCAAACCCACACTGATGATGAGGCACGACCCCGGACCAGAAGCCAGACCACAGCTGCATCATTAGCCACTTTAAACCCCTCCAATTCATACATGAAGCAGACTGACACCCACCATGAAGAGGTAGCACGGCCACGAACACGAAGCCAAACAACAGCAACACAGCTCACCAGCTCAAATCCCCCTGTTACTCAGACTAACCCGAGCACAACCAAGCCCCCACCTAAACAGAACACACCCCCATCCAATCAGAGCACAGCCAACCCCCCTTCCAATCAGAGCACAGCCAAACCCCCAACCAATCAGAACACACCTCCGCCCAATCAGAACACAGCCAAGCTCCCACCCAATCAGTTCACACTCCCACTGCAGTTAAAAGGAAGAAACAGCTGCGATCACACACATTGCTCCTAGAAGCACAAAGCCGAGAACACCAGCCTGAAGATGACAAATGAGACTTCGTCGAAACGTCGCCAAGACACTTCCAATTTTACGCGGGAGAAAACCCGAATAACCAAAGACCTACATACAAACACCCGCGAAAACCTCAGAAATACACACACACACACACACACACACACACACACACAATTTATTTAATATACTGATGTTTACTTAAATTTAAATTTGCTGATGTTTATACTATATGTTATAGTATATTGACAATACAATATATGAGATAAAATATTAAATTATGATAAAACCATGATAAAATCATATTATGGTGCCATAAATCACAATAGGATAGATGTTATAATCCAATATCTAAGGAAGCTAACCATGCTGCAATGAGAACATTTTTGAACTCTATGTTTTTGAGGAAGGGGAATTCTTACTAAGGACCTCAGCACACTAAGCCAATATTATAAGTCAAGTTTATGTCCAAATCTGAAAGAAAGTGAAGTATGCATTTTCTATCTAAGCAATCACATAGAAAAGAATGATTTTTTTGGTGGAGTTTTTTTGTGGGGGTGAAATGTTCCTGGTTCGGACTGGATCGCCCGATCCAGTAGCGATGGAGGCAAGTGGTTCGGAGAACCAGTAGCAAATATCCCTTCCCGCCATGCCCAGCTGAGGTATGCAATCATCAGAGGCTTTTTTTTAAATTTTAAAAGCATTTTTTCTACAACCTCTTTGGCCAAAAAAATGCTTTTAAAAGTTAAAAAAAAAAAGCCTCTGATGATTCCGCGGATCAGCTGGGATCATCAGAGGCTTTTAAAAGCATTTTTTCTACAACCTCTTCGGCCGAAGAGGTTATAGAAGAAATGTTTTTAAAAGGAAAAAAAGCCTCTGCCGATCAGGCAAGTCAGCTGGGATCATCAGAAGCTTTAAAAAAAAAAGCTTCTGCCAATCAGGCAAGTCAGCTGGGATCATCAGAGACTTTAAAAAAAAAAGCCTCTGCCGATCAGGCAACTCAGCTGGGATTGTCAGAGGCTTTTAAAAGCATTTTTTAGACAACCTCTTCAGACGAAGAGATTGTAGAAAAAATGGTTTTAAAAGTAAAAAAAAAAAAAGGTTGGCCATGTCCACTCTGTCATAATACCCCCCCCAAGCCACGCCCACAGAACCGGTAGTAACAAATTTTACATGATGGCTTTAGGTTACGTAGTACAATTTCAACGTTATCTATTGTAAAATCAATATGTAGTAAATCATTCTTTATATCCCATAGGTAAGCAATCAGTTCCATTTAAATAGTCCTAGAGGTTATCAAAAGCCTCTTTGCGTTCCCTTTACAGATTCAATCTTCTAGCATAACATTCAGGGGCCCCTTTAATTAAATAATTTTCATATTTGAGTCTCCAGTAGTCCTAGGGTAGTTGGGAATAATCCAGTAAATATTTCCACAGTCCTTCATATAAATATTCCCAGACTTGTAATGTTTCCTTTGTCAGCTTTACAAGTAAAGTTTTACAAGTAAATGATTCCAGCATTTTAAAATGCCTTCCCAGTACCATGTCTTCCCAGTTTAAGAGTCCAATTTTCTCTATATTTCAAGATTTATTTTTTTTCTCTCTTTATTTATTTATTTTATTTTATTAAATTTATATACCACCCTACCCCGAAGGACTCAGGGCGGTGAACAGCCAAAAAATAAAAACACATAGATTACAAAATTTAAAAGACAGTATAAAACCACATTAGATAATTTGGCCCGGGACAAATTACAACACCCCCTATACTTAAGACAAATTTAAAATTTATAATTTAAAAAGTTAAAAGGGAAAAAGTTAGGCCAGGCCGGCCTGTTGAAATAAAAAAGTCTTGAAGGCGCGGCGGAAGGTGCGTGGAGCCGGGATCTTGCACCTTCCTATTTTCTCAGAATGCTTAGACGCCACTTTAACAAATAATTCTGAGCCAACAGTTCTAAATTGTTTCTTGGGGTTAAGTTTAAGGCAAAAAGGAATCCTCTCCCCTAGTTTCAGTCACAGTTCACCTACTTCACTCCAGCACCAGTCTCAGTTGTTTCTTCATTTATCCCAGCTTTGTGGCAGCCATCTTTAGGCTGCCTTTTCTCCTCACCGTGGCTGAGAAGGAAAAAGAACCCTGGGTCAGACAGGAGAGCTGCAACTCTTCTCAACCTCACAGGGTGCCCCTCTTTGCTTCATCGTCCCTACAGGATGGCTTTGGCTCCTCTTGGAGCCCACAAACAGGGAAAATTCAGCACAGGGAACACAGAGACCCATTTCCTGTGTCTGATATTGTCACAACGTCAACTGGAAGTCAAAACTTGTTCCAATTCTTGATCGATTGCTCAGAATAATCTAACAATAATAAATAAATTTGTCTTACTCTTTCAATTGCATAACAAATGTTTTTAGGATGTAGTGTGAATAACACATTACACTAGCTATTCCACACGAACACAAGAGTACATAATATAAATGAATTATAAAAATGTCAGTCAATCAATCGATTAACTATCACTATCAATCTTTGTTTAAGGTGGGTTTATAGATTTCTTTATCCAATAACTATAACTAAGGTTAAATAGAGATTGTCTCCAATCAATTATTAAGCTTCATGACTGAGCCTACGTCTCTCTAGTTCATTCTATTCACAGCTAGCCTCATTAACTGTAATTTAGTCAATGTTCACTGAAAAAAATGTTTCAATGTTGTCATAAATTTATAGATTTCAATTATTTTGGTCTAAATTAACAATGAAAATGTAGCTTTCAAAGCATCCCGGGGAAATTTTGTATTATTTAATCTTTTTGCATATTCAATCTTCGATTCAACTGATTAATTCTAAGGATGGATAGGACCTAAATGTATGTGTACATGCATAGAAAATATTAGTTAGAGCACTATCCTAAATGTGCCTATGCATAAGATAGCATCATTAAGCTTGTTTATTTAATCAACTGACATATCACTTCTCATAAAAAGCTAGAGGAATGAAATTACATCACTATTGTTCAAAGGCTAAATTCTGCTGCTCTTGAGAAACTATGCTTAATTAAACATAATTTGAGATTTGCATTTCAAAAAAAGGTAATAGCAATTGTTGAAATGCAAAAGGGGCAAATTGATATTTTGATGAAAAATAAAAGAGATGATGTAAGAAGTTGAGGGAAAAGGAAATTTTGCTTCATATATATATATAAAACATTTCTAGAACCTGTGCTTTATGGAGAGTGATTTCCCAAAGAGCGAATTAATCACAATCTTTAATTTATGCTACTCTGCAATTTATTCCCCCCCCCCAAGCCTGCAGTTTTCATTATATTTAGGCTTGATAACATTATTTTATAATAAAAACTACACAGTTATATAAAAAATAATACATCTTCTTGAGAAGCACTTCCAATCAGACAGAGGATCTTGTCCTGAATAATGTTAAATCAGGATTTAAAATCTTTTTCTTTTTTGTTGCTTTAATCAAATGACACAAAGCAGACAATATGTAGAAAAAACCACCATGTTTGGCAAGATTGAAGAAAATAGAAGACAATGAAGAAGATGGGTAGTTTAGATTAGGGACATCAGTGGAATATCCTTGAAGTGGCTAAGTTTATCATGAAGAATAGATCTAAACAGAGGGCATTTGTCCAAAGAGTCACAAGGAATCACATCCAAATTGACACCTAACTAGCAATTAAATTTTAAATTCTCCATTCAAACATAGTTCAATTTAACGATAACTTAAAATAGGATTGTTTGTAAAATGGCACACACACACACACTGCATTTGAAAGGAATGTGAAAAATAATGATTGTTAAACTAGTAAAGACTGAAATTGCTGGTTGGAAAAAGTGTTCATCCTATTAAAACTGGAAGAAATTTCCTGGGGCATAACCTAAAATTTAATTCTGTCAATTTGTACACTAAGATCAAAAACATTTTGTTTAATTGCTCTCTTTAGACTCATCATTTAGTTCTCATGCTTAGAGGCATCAGAAAGAAAAATCACTAAGTCATAATTTTCTTCCATGAAGAATTAAATGTATTTGTAAGAATGAATTTGGCCAATGAATCCTTTCCAAATTTTAGTTTCAATTAAGCTTAGGCAATATATTCTTATGTAGCTGGCTGTGGAAAGAGATCCTAGTTCAAGTCTCAGAAAAATGTTACAGGTAAACTGGGGGGCTTGGATAATGATCCATATAAATCTGAACTGAACTTACCTTTAAAGACTTTATGTCTTTTTGAAAGCAGTGTTGTGCACTATAAAACAAAAGTGAAATCATTTTATAGCTGTGAACAGTTTAACAGCTGCTGGGACAAATTGTAGCTTTTATAACTTACATATCTAATTATCACACTGTGGCCTCCCTGTTTAACAATAAACTTTTTGCTGTAGATGATGAATAAAATGTGATATGTAAATATTTAAGCCACAGTTTATTTTATTTGAGTTCCATTAATTTGACATTTATGTTAGCAAATGGAGAATCATTTTGAAAATAGGACATCTTTGTTTTTGCATAGTTTTGCATAGAAAACTGTCATTTTCCAATAGCAGAAATTCAAGTCAAATAACTTTATTCTGGTCATTAACCAGAAGAAAGAATTGAAGAATAGAGAAAATGTTCAAATATCCAGAACATTAAAAAAAAAGAAAAGAAAAAAGAGTGATACATAGAAAAATATGCTAAAAGTGTCCATTCTTATTAGTTAAAACTAATCTAAAACCTAGAATTATAGAGTCCCTGACAAATCTGAGAAAGGTACAATACGGTAGCTGATATTAAAAAATGGCCAGTAGGTAATGCTGAGTGTTTCCTACTCAAACAAGTGCAATTGCTCTTAATTACTTTTTGTTTAATTTTGTATGCCACCACATAGAAACTGGCAATCTTATATATTATTTCAGAATTACTATAATAAAATAAGAAATGCTTGTACTGCATATATCTTGTTTTTAATAGTCGGGAGTTGGGCAACTAGAGTATTTTGGGATGCTGTGTATAACTAGTGGTACCAAAGAATATGTTCAATAGTTCTACTTGTCCTGAGTCCCAAGGGCATACTCATAAAGGATAGGATATCTTTTTGTATCATAGCCCAGAGATAATAGTTAAGTGGGGGAAGAGTTCTAAGATTGTGAGCTTGTTATAAATGATTTGTTTCTACCCACTATGAAACTTATTTTTTAATATTCATGGTGCTAAGCTTTTAGGGAGAAACATCAGCTTCATTTAGTAAGATTAGCATAGCTTGCCATATTCTGGTTTCCATATATGAACAGCGTTTGAGAAATACATCCAGATTGTATTTGGTGTTGGAATGAGACAAGTTTTAACAGATGTGAGAGGCCTTCTCTCTCTCTCTTTTCTGCATAGGCATGTTCAAAGAGGACTAAGAATTTTTGAACATAGGGTTAGCACAATTTCAGAGAAAAACTATTCTGCAAAAGGACTATTTCAGGGTAGCACTATTCAAGAGAATTAAACAAACATGTCAAAAAGAAGCCCAAAAAGTGGCTGGTGAATGTGATGCAAAGTAAGAACATGTGAGGAAGATCTGATAAATTTTACTGGCAAAATATAAAATCCAAATCCCATTGAGATACTGCAGGGTTATTTGAAATGAACTGCCCATGCAAGAAATCTCTCAAACATCACAAAACTGGTAAAAAAAATATCTGGGTGGAAAAATGGGAAATATTTCCTCCCATCAACATTAGAAACTGGTAAATAGTTGTAAAATGCCTTCTGGAGGTTATTTCTGCCAAAATAGAATGTATTAGAGCCAATTACTTTTTCCACCTAAAAAAATGACATATCAATTATTTTTTTTCTTGAATAAATCAGTGCAAAGTCAATTTTTCATAGCATTTATTCAATTACATCATATTTATCTTTATATTACTTTTTTTTAAAATAAATGCCTGTTTTGAGGGTGAAGGTGTGTTCTCAGAGGGAACAGTTGGTTCCAAATGTTTCTGTTCTGACCTAGGCTCCCTTAACAAGCAGGAGGCAGGAATTACTGGCAAAACCTTTTTTATTTACACGACTGTGAATTACGTTCATTCACAGTCAGCAAGGTTTGTCCAAACAGTTTTTCAAAGGAATATTTCTCAACACACCTTATCTTGTTTGGCAAGCTGCCATGTGAATTGTTTCCAACCGCAGTACAAGGCAAAACTTGGAACAGAGTCTCTCAGAGTCATGGAATGAACAAATTGTTTCCTGCAAAAGCCCACTTCCTGTTTGCTCCTCTTTTATTTTCTATGGGAGGGGCCAATTATCTTGTGGCTTTACTCCTGAGTTGACCTGGCTTTCTTAATTGTTCTTTTTTCTGCTCATGCGCACACTGGGAACAGGCTCCAGCTGTTCCTTTGCCTTGCTGCTGCCTGTCTCCCTCTCTGCCTCCGATGCAGAGCCCTTGTCTGAGCTTTCCCCAGCTCCCAGGACTGGCCCAAGTTCCTCCCCAATCTCCTCACTGTTGGACTCTGCTGCCAGGTTTGCTGGCTGCTGGCAGGCCACAACACTTTCATTACCAAGCTAAGTAACATCTTCAGCGGAGTTTAAGGGATGTCAGTGTTCTTCTGTTTATAAGAGCTTCAAGTGTGGGTGTGTCAAGTGAGGGTTTTGTAATGGGCCTTGTGATAGGTCAGGTGAGAGTCATCAGTGAGTCTTGTGATGGGGAGGTTACATCAGGTGAGGGTCAATCCAAAGTGAACTGCTGGTTGTGGGGGCTTTTGTGGGTTGGTTGAGGATGGGTGCTGTTTCTGGTTGGTGTGCAGTTGATTTGGATTCTGAGGGGTTCATAGGCTGGTTGTAGATCAGTGTGTCTGTTGATGGAATTGCTTGTGGAGTCCCAGGCTTTAATGAACTCATGAGCATTGTTGTGGGTGGTAGTGTGGCTGATGATTTTTGTGTTGCTCCAATCGAACTAGTGCTGTTTGGTAACAGTGTGGGTAGAGATTAAGGATTTGGAATCATGGCGTTTGACTGCCAACCAGTGTTTGTGGAACCTGGTTTTTAATTATGTGATGTTTATCCCATGGAATTGGTTGCAATGGTTGCAGTTGATTTTATAGATTACATTGTTTCTTACATCCTTCTCCGTCTTGTCTTTCATTCTGAATAATTCCTGGTGGAGTATGGCTGTGGGTTTGTGAGCTATTGCTATTCCTAGGGGTTGTAAAATTATGGCACCCCTTTTTAAACAAAAAATGATACTCATTTTTAACAAAAAATGCCTATTTTGTTCATTTTTATACAAATCCAAAAACCTGTGGTCCTGTATTTAAAGGTCTAATCTGCAATGCTTTCAAAAAATGGTAAACTGGGGTTTATAAGAACCTAACCAGAGTTGGGTTCAGAATGTTCTGGGCACACACTATGTAGTCAAAGAAGGTAAGAGGTATCTGGTGTCTCTTATACTTCAAGCCAAAATGCTAATGGAGGGCAATGTTGAATGACTAAATAAGATGCCTGCTTGCATCAGCATACAAAAGAGGTGGACGTTATCCAGTTCCTGGACATGCCATCCACATCTTGATGAAATATAATGTATTTTAAGAATAGTTTAGGAATCTTACTGCTGCAGTTAGAGGAACATGAAGAGGAAGTCAATATTTATCTTTGTAGTTGCTGCTATTGTTGTTATATTTTTATTACACTTTTTTTATATTTGGTCAACTTAAGGTGGTGAATGTACCTAATTCTCCTGCCCCTATTTTCCCCATCATAGCAACCTGACAGATGGGTTGGACTAGATTAGGATAAAACAAGATGTTCTTTTAAATGTATTGGGAAATATCTATTAAAATATACCATTTCAAATTCAACCAGAGTTAATTGTTTGAACTGCTGACAGTTGTTCTCTGTAAGCAAAGTGGTACATAGAAATTTGTCTTGCGACATTGCACACTGACAACAGAATGCCAAAGACAATTGTTTTTAAGTAGACATGAGTAGGATTTGATCAATATATAAACATTCTCTAACTGAAGTTTAAATGTACTGTGAATTGCAGTGTAAACTTGTTAAATAGATGCCTGTAGCTATCTGTCCTACTAAGTAACTCAGGCTATTGGATTTATAATCAGACACTTTAATATGCTTAAATTTTGTTGAAGTAAATTCATGTAGACTTACTTTTCTTGACATTTTATATGTAGATAGAATAACAGAGTAACAGAATAACAGAGTTGGAAGGAACCTAGGTCTTCTAGTCCAACCCACTGCTCAAGCAGGAAACCCTATACTATTCTGGACAAATGGCTCTCCAATCTCTTCTTAAAAACCTCCAGTGATGGGCCACCAGCAACTTCTAGACACAATTAACCATTCCACTGGTTAATTGTCCTTACTGTCAGGAAATTTCTAGGTTTCTTAGTTCAAGGTTGCTTCTCTCGTTGATTAGTTTCCATCCATTGCTTCTTGTCCTGCCTCCTAGTGCTTTGGAAAATAGTTGGTCGGCCTCTTCTTTGTGGCAGCCCCTCAAATATTGGCATACTGTTATTTTGATGTTTTGGCTTCCAGCCTCCTAATTATTTTTATGCTCTTTGTACTCTTTCCAGAGTCTCAATATCTTTATTATTGTGGCAACCAAAACTGAATGCAATTATTGAAATGTGGTCTTACCAACACCTTATAAAGTGGTACTAACACTTCACATGATCTTGATTCTATCCCTCTGCTAATGCAGCCTATGCATTGGCTTTTTGGCAGCTGCAGCACACTGCTGATATTAAGTGATTGTCCACTAGGACTCCAAAATTCCTCTTGCAGCTACTGCTATTGAGCCAGGTTCCACCTATTCTTACCTATACATTTGATTTTTCTTGCCTAGAAGAATTTCATTTTGTTAGAAATTCTGGATCTTGAGCCTATCTTCTGGAATGTTGGCTATTCCGGCCAGCTTGTCTGCAAATTTAATGAGTTCCCCTTCTATTCCTTTGTCTAAATTCTTTACTAAGATATTGAAGAGTATTTTGGGTACCCCATTGCTTCTTTCCTTCCAGATAGATGTAGTTCCATTAAGGACTACACACTGAATGCAATTTGTCAGTCAGTTATGAATCCATCTGGTTGTGATGCTCTCTATCCCACATTTTTCTAATTTACTAAGAAGTAGGTTTTGGTCTACTTAAATAAGTATTTTTAGACTATATAAATACTAGAGTATTTATTTTGACAGGCCTTTGCTATCTAGATTTTATAATTGTAAGACTATGTCAAATACATGTAAAGAATATTTGGAAGAGAGAGATGAGTTGAATATACATCTCATTCATCATTACAGAAATTATTATTACAATGTGAATTACAGCTCTTCTGCTAAAATTATTATAACAACTGTCAAGTGTTTCTGCTCTCAGCATGGAACAACAATTAGGAGTTTCCTAATGATTGAAGAATTCTTTTTTTAAAACAAGGATGTATGAAAATACATTAAGAAATAGTGTTTATAATGTTATCTTTGTTTAATAACAATTTCTTTTTAAAAATTCTCTTCTCATTTTTGTGGCTGATATGGATGTGTTCCTCAATTTTGGGAGTCTGAGAATTCTGCACAATTTCGACTATTCCTAGCACTGCACTATAGACAAAGAACTTAATTAATGTTCTTGAGTTCTATTAGAGACATTGTCCAAGGATAGAAATCACAATCTCGAGTGTTCTTACTAATGCTGGGACTAATTTGGACTTTATTTTCCACTTTTTCTTGAATTCCTCCTTTAGTTTTTGGTGGTTCTTCAGATTTTCATACTTCTTCTCCCTGATATTGCTGTGACTTGGCACCTCTACTCCTCTTTCTACACTACTATATTCTGGTCCTTATTATTCTGGTCTGTAGTAGTAGTAAACTACTACGATGTCTGATTGATTGGCTAATATATGCATTTCTGTCTGGATCTGGATGTTCCATAGGATCTTAGCCCTGTTATTCTCTATGACCTATGGAATCTCCTATCTGGACTTGGGAAGATCTAGAACACATTGCAGATGTTCTCCTACACAATGCTAATACTTGGTTGTGCCATTCAGTGTATGTGGTTTCTGTTTGTTCCTTCCTCTGTCTCTCCCTTCCTTTTCCTTTTCCTTTTCCTTCCCTTCCCAGAGATAGGTAAATAGCTGCTGCTGGGTGGGGGAGGGAGTGAGGGTTCCCATAAGGGAAACATGGGGAACATTGAAAATAAAGAACATGTGACCACAATTAGCAGCCCTGTTGAAGCAGCTACAACTTCCTCAAATTTCCAAAGTAATAGGTTCCAGCATCCTGTAAGTTAGTCTATTTGAGGTATCTTTGTTGACAAAGTTTTGCCTCATTATGAACTGTTTTACCAAGTTAAAGTTTATCAAACACAAGCATTGTAATAGTGTATATAGTCATAAACAGCTAAGTTGCCAAATAATCTATGCTCATATCAGAGAATTTCAGGAGATATTTATTTTGGAAGTTGGCTGAAGACAGCTTTCTAAAGAATAAGGCAAAATTGCATGTATGGCTTTTTGCAACAAACCACCAAAATTACTTTTTACAATAGGGGTGTCAAACTTGATTTTGAGGCAGGGGGCAGGGCAGATACAGCCGGAAACCCTCAGCCACCCTGTGCTTGCCCCTTTGCCTGCGGGGTGATGGTGGTGGTTTCTGGCTGCAGCCGCAGCCTACCAGCCCCTTAGCTGACACATGCTGCAGCTCTGGAGTCCACTACCACCACCTGGCTGGCTGTCTATAAAGACCGCTGGAATACTTACTATGTTCCATTGTCTGTTTGGCTTGCGGTTGGACAGCAGGTCACCGCTGGTCATCTCCTCTGCCACCTCATGAGTCTTTCCCTTGGCCTGCATGTGAAGCGCGTTCCTCTTGCATACTCAGTGAACTTTGGTCCCGCTGAGCATAGAAAGCCAGATCCCCATCAGTGTCATGGCCACTAGGCCCAGCAGAAATGGGGGGGAGGCACAGGATCCTGGATGGGCCTGGGTGGCCATGGCACCAATAGGGATCCAGCTTTCCCTGCTCGCAGTGGCCGTCTTTTGCCTGCTGGGCCTGGACATGTTCTACCATCTCTATTAGCACTTTCTAGCTGGCTGCTTCACCTACTTCGTGCTGGGTGTGTCTGGTGCTCTGAGCAGCAACAACAGTAGTCTAATGGATCTGCGCAAGCTGCTGGCAATGGCCCACAGCGGTGTCGAGGTATGTTGGGTATATGAGGGGAACATGATTCATGCATGGGCTAAGGGCAAGACCTGTGAGGGGGCCAAGAAGATGACCAGCAGCAACCTGCTCTCCAACCGTAAGCATAAACAGATGGGGCGTGCCTGCTGGGATGGTGTGGCCTGGGCCTGTGCACACGTGTGCCCGCTGCCTCCTGCATATATGCATACCTGCTGGGATGGGATTGCCTAGGCTGAAGCAAAGGGGCCACCCCTTACTGTTTCCAGAATGGCCCCACAGGCCGGATCCGACCACATCACAGGCCGGATTCGGCCTGTGGGTCTTGAGTTTGATACCCCTGTTGTACAGCTATAGGTAGATATATAAGGAATTAAAAATTACTAGTCTAACTATTAAGAAGAAAGAAGGCATGTAAAGGAATTTATCACCATCATTTTTCTTCAGAAATTCACTTTCATGAAACAGACTGAGAACAATTATTAAGAAATTATCAAGAATGGAACATTGTCTCACCTGAATGTTCATTTTATGATCGTTGCGACGACATTCTTTACTCTTGGGACATCTTCACTTCGATTGGATTTCACTGAGTGCTCATCAAACTTTTTCTCCCTCTGCAGCCTAGTTCCACCTCCTCCCTCTGCGCATGATCAGTTCTTTTCACGATGTCACTTCTTGACTTCTTTACATGCTTTTCACGGAATATCAACTGCAGAAGGAGTAATGAAAAAACACCCCCCACGACCACCATACTAGAACCCTAAGGGTGGGTCAGAATGTCGTCGCAACGATCATAAAATGAACATTCAGGTGAGACAATGTTCCATTTTCATGCATCGTTGCTCCGACATTCTTTACTCTTGGGATATACCCAAGCTTTTCTTAAATAGGGTGGGTTTCTAAGTCTTTTTCCTGTTGTCGTGGGGAAATTATTGATTGTAATACTCTTCTTCCAAATGCTGCATCAGCTGATGCAAATGAGTCTATTTTATAGTGTTTTACAAATGATGAAATAGAAGACCATGTAGCTGCCTTACATATTTCTTCTATTGATGCCTGTGTGGCCCATGCAGCTGATGTCGCTACACTACGTGTTGAGTGAGGTAACACTCTACTAGGTACCTTTACCCCTTGTGAAGCATATGCTGCTGATATACATGCCTTAATCCATCTTCCTACTGTATTGGAAGATACTTTTTTTCCCATCGAGGAAGGTAAAAAGGATACAAATAATGCTTCCGTTTTACGGAATGTTGCAGTTCTTTTCATATAGCTTATTAAAGTCCTACGTACATCTAGAGTATGCCACATTTTTTCCAATGTATGTTTTGGATCTGGGCAGAAATTTGGTAGAACTATTTCTTGAGCTCTATGGAAATAAGAATTTATTTTCGGTATGAATGTTGTATCTAGTCTTAGTACTACCCTATCTGGGTAAAAAGTGCACAAATCATTCCTAATAGATAAAGCTGCAATTTCTGATACTCTACGTGCCGATGTTATTGCTATTAAGAATGCTAATTTTATTGTTAGCCATCTTATACTTATTGAAGCTACTGGCTCAAATGGCGACTTTGTAAGAGCCTGTAATACTAAATTAATATCCCATGAAGGATATCTGTGAATCTTAGGTGGTCTTAAATTCGTTGCACCCCTTAGGAATGATTTAATTCTCTTATCTTGACTAAGAGATTTTTTATTGCGTCCTTCTAAAACTGTAGCTAGTGCTGCTACTTGTCTTTTCAATGTAGAGGGTGCAAGACCTCTCTCTAACCCAGCCTGAAGAAACAACAGTACTTCAATTTCATTAGCTGATGTAGGATCAATATGATGTTCTATACACCACTTTACAAACGTATTCCAAGTAGCATTATAAATACGTGTTGTTGATGGTCTCCTGGATGCTTGAATGGTATAAATTACTTCCTTAGGAAGGTTATCTTTTGCTAATTTGATCCTTTCAATCGCCAAACGGTCAATTTTAACCAATTTGGCTTTGGATGTTGAACCTTTCCTTGAATGAGAATCATCTTTGCTGATGGTATTCTCCACGGATTTTGTATCAATAGTTGTAGTATTTCTGCAAACCATGGCCTGCGTGGCCAGTATGGCGCTACCAATATCATCTCTGCTCTTTCTTCCATAATTTTCCGAATTACTTTTTGAATAATTGGGATTGGAGGAAATGCATACAGAAGCCCTTCTGGCCAATGAGATCTTAGAGCATCGTGGCCTTCTGCTCCTGCCACTGGAAACCTCGCAAAGAATCTTGGGAGCTGTGCATTCTGTGGTGTCACAAATAGATCTACTACTGGTTGTCCAAACCTCTGAACTATCTCCCTGAATACATTGGGATGGACACGCTGACTGATCTATTTTTCCACGACTGAGCCAGTCTGCCTGTTGGTTTTTTTCTCCTGATATATGTTCTGCCTTTATTGACATTAAATGTGTCTCTGCCCAAGACATCAGTTTCACTGTCTCTTCCATGAGATCTTTTGATTTTGTTCCTCCCTGACGGTTCACATGCGCCTTCGTGGCCATGTTGTCGGTTAGAATTAATACATGCTTGTTTACTAGAAGATGATGAAAATGGTTTAATGCCATTCTTACAGCTCTTAATTCCAACCAATTGATTGGTTGTTTCTTCTCTAAGGGAGACCAAATTCCCTGTGCCAGTAGACCCTTCAGATGGGCCCCCCATCCGTACAAGCTGGCATCTGTTGTCAATATTACTGGTTCTGATTGAAGAAAAAATGATCCCTGCTGAATTGCAGAAGTCAACCACCATTGAAGAGACATTTTGACTTTTTTTGGTACTAACACTTTGTATAGAAGTGTGCTGTTTGTCTTTTTTGAAATGGCAGTAGAAACCATTGTAGATTGCGAGAATGGTATCGAGCCCAGGGTACTATTGCAATTGCTGATATTAGCTTGCCTAGAAGTTGAGATAGTGTTAGTAATGTAGTTTTCTTTTGAGATAGTATTTGAGTAATCAGATCTTTGATACTGTTCTGCCTGTCTTGAGATAGGTATACCATACCCTTTGTTGAATCTATTATAGCTCCCAAGTGCTGAATTCTTGTTGTTGGGACTAAGTGACTTTTTTCCATATTGATTGTGAACCCATGAGCTTGTAAAGATTTTATTACTAACTGTCTGTCTCGACATGCCTGAGTCTCTGATGTCGACAGTATTAAAATATCGTCTAGGTAACATACTAGACGAATTGGAATTAATCTGAGAGAAGCCGCTACCGCTGCCAGAAGTTTCGTAAATGTTCTCGGTGCGGAGGAAAGGCCAAAAGGCATTGCCTTGTATTGAAAATGCCTGCCCGCATATGCGATCCTGAGATATTGTCTGTACATTGGGTGAATTGGTATGTGTAGGTATGCTTCTTTGAGATCTATGGATTGCATTATGTCGCCTTGTCTGATGCATCCCAGTAATGACTTTAGTGAATGCATTTTGAATCTTCTGTATAATATTTTCTTGTTCAATTGTCTCAGATTCAGAATTCCCCTCCATCCCCCTGAATTTTTTGGTACCAGAAAGAAGCTGGAATAAAAACCTGTTCGAATTTGATGTTTTGGAACCGGTTCGATTGCATTGATCTGGATTAGATGTTGAATTTCTGTATTCATCAGCTCTCTTTGAGATGGATGGTTGTGCCATGTACATTGTAGGAACCTTTGTGGTGGGGGAGAGGTAAATTCCAAAGTGAGACCGCTTGTCACTGTACGTAATATCCATGTGTCTGTCGTAGAAATTTCCCATTGATGAAAGAAATGTTGAAGTTTGCCCCCAATGGGAAGGGCATCTTTCAAGTCACTTGCCTCTACGTGATTGTCGTGACATGGTGCCTCTAAAAGGTCTCTTGAAAGAATTTTGACGTCCTCCTCTTCCACAAAAGGAGTTCCTATCATTTGAATATCCATATGAATAGAGTTGTGGGTTACCACGCTGTGTGAAGGCATTAGCAGATCCTTGATCATATCGAAAGGATTGACGCTGATAAGGTGAGAATCTGCGGTCTGGTCTTCTATACAATGAAGGTAATACCTTCTTCTTATCTCTTCCTTCTATGAGAATTGGATCTAGTGAAGTTCCGAATAAAGAACGACCTTTATAAGGTGCTGATGTAAGCCTCCACTTAGATTTTGAATCTGCCCTCCAATTTCTCAGCCAAAGGAGTCGGCGTGATGAAATTGATGAAGCAAGAGCCCTAGATGCGAATTTTGCTGCATCTAATGATGCATCAGCAGAATATTCTGCTGCTGCTATAAGTTTTGATATGTCTTGTTGAATTCTAGATTCTCCTGGTGGTAATCTTTCCCTCAGTTGACGTAGCCATATAAGAGAGGCACGGTTAAAGAATGAAGAAGAAATTGCTGCTCTAACTGCCCATGCAGCAGCTTGATGAGTCTTACGACATGTCATCTCAGCTCTTTTATCTTCTACTTTAAGGCCTTCCCCAACCTCGCTAACTAAAATAGAAGATGAAGTTAATGTTGCTACAGGTTCATCTATCAATGGTAATTGTAGTAATTCATCCAATTCAGGAGCAACACAATATAATTTTTTATCAAAACTGTTCGGTCCCGATGTTGAACTAGGGTGTTCCCATGGTTTTTGTATAATTTGTGAGAAAAGATCTGGACATGGTACAAAATCTAAATTCGATTTTGGTAAGTTAAATAAAGTATTATTATGGTCAAGTTGGCTACCTGACTCAGATGTTTTTTCTATGTTGACACCCAAATTGGTAGCTAATTTTGCCTTACGCAACAATGACTTAAATAAGGCTGGATTAAAAAGACCTTGGAATGCTGGCTTTTCTGAAACCATTTCCTCTTCATCATCTGACATATCAAATTCTTCTAGACAATCAAGTTCATCTCCTTGATTAAAGTAATTAACAGATTGTTGCTGTTGTTGGGGATGTATCTGATGTCGACAGTTAGTGCTGGTGGATGCACCAGACTGACAAGGATAGCCGGTTTGTTGCAGACCAGCTTGAAATATGCGAGAAATTGTCTCGAAACTAATGTTTGAAAATCCATTGCATTACTACCATTTGGACCTTCTTCTCCCTCAGGCCAGCAGCTGTTGGCATGAAAGAGGCCTCAGGTGGACCATGAATCATATGGTCAGCTATATGTAAATGACCTGAGCACATAGGCCCTTGAGATGCAAGCCTCCTTGACTCATCAATTAAACAATGACTTTGTGGTTCTATGGATATACTATCTTGAACCCACACATTTGAATCTTCCTCATTTAATTGAGGCATTGTATTTTCAGATTGCTGAAGATTAACTGCTTCAGACTGAGATGTAATAGGCACCAATTGCGCTGCGCGCTGGGCCTTTTCAAATTGGCGTTCTAATTGATTATGTCTACATTTTTCCATCATATTAGAACTTTTAAGACTATTAGTTTGTGTGTCATTATTGTCCTGACCAGGAATAGACACATGTTTGGTTTTGCCTCGTTTTTTTCTTAGAGGCTGGGGTAAAGGTACTCTAGGAGTAGTGGCTTGTTCCAATTCGGAAGATAATTCATCTTCTGCCGTATTTGCTAATCAGGAGAATTAATATAAATAGATAAGCAATTAATTAATTAATTAATTTTTTTTTTAATTTTTTTTTATTTTTTTTTAATATATGTATAAAATTATATATGTATATATATATATAACAATCCATTTAATTAATATATTATTATTATTATTTTTATAATTATAATGAATTGTAAAAAAACTTCCCTGTGGTGAAGTTCCTCTTCAGACTGCAGTTGATAATTGCGCAGTATATAGAGATAAACGGCCAACGGAATTTCTTGTACTTTAAAATGGCGGCGCTTTCAAATTCTATTCAGCCAACCTTCCGTTAAACTGCTGAGCGCTCGAGCTCACTGAATTTTACTTATGCAGATATAAAGAAAATAGCGCTTACAAGCGTCTTATTTTTTCCTCAAATAATTACTTTTGTAATGCGATCTCGCCTTTGATAGCTTTGCCTGCCAGGCAAAGACTTCAATATTTATTCACCATAAATAGCCGGCTATCACAAGCGGCTGTTTGTTTTCTCGCCAATTTTAGTTATTTTCTTTCTTGGAGCCTGACTTTCTGTTGCAGGAACTCCGATGCCGCAAACAGAGGCTGCGATGGTGTAGGCGGTTATCCTAGCACACCAGTTAACCAGCTCTCACACCGCGGCAATTTGCTTTTGAAAGAACAGCGTCCACTTCAAAGCGGATCGCTGCTGAGCAATTAGTGAGGCAAACGGCTTTCTTTTAGAAGCGGCTTTCTTTAGAAGCGGCGGCAGACTCAACATCAATAGAAAAAAAACTGCCGATATTGTAACAATCGCCTCCAGCAGCCCCCTTAATTTAAATAAAGATATATTATTTCTTTGAAATTTCCAATTAAATGAATTAATTAATGTTAATCTACTAGACTAATTAGCACTCCAGTCCTACCACATCGACTGAGTGAAAAGAACTGATCATGCGCAGAGGGAGGAGGCGGAACTAGGCTGCAGAGGGAGAAAAAGTTTGATGAGCACTCAGTGAAATCCAATCGAAGTGAAGATGTCCCAAGAGTAAAGAATGTCGGAGCAACGATGCATGAAAATATTTATGAGCTATCTGTGATTAAATCCAGTCAAAGAGGCATTGACTAATGGTTCTGCATAATGCAATAATACCTGGTATAGGAGAATGCTACTCATTCAGAAAACACAAGGGCACTAGAACATTCTATTCTATTTTTCTGTGACAGCAACTATGGACCATATATTATAAAAAATATCACGGAGTTGTAAAAACTGCAGTTCCACATTGAAATCTAATTCTACAATTGATAACAGCAGAAATTTCCCTTCAGTGAAATGGCAGCTCTTAAAAGTACTGTGTGGTATTTTTTCCTCTTTCAATTATTTATTTCTTTGATCAAGACTGAATAAATAATTCTCTTCCTTGAAAATAAAAAAAGAAAAGCAAGAAGGCAACAATACTTTAAGCAGCAAACATTAAAAATATGCTTTATGATTTGTGGTTCCTTAATGTAGAACACAAGGATGAATTAACATTGTAATAAAGCAGCAGTCTTTTATCCAGTTATATGGACTTATTTCAGAGTGAATACATGTAGAATTAT